CTGAACTTCCAAATTAAAGATACAAGTTGTTGAAGTAAAAAAGAACAAACGACAATTGTGTGTTCTTTGGGGCTTGTCACAAACTGTTGAAATCTGTGTCTAAGTTAATTAATTAATGTACATTAATGTACAGATAACAAAATTTGAGTTAATTGATCTCATAGTTGAAGGCTTTCAACAACTGTTCATGTTACTGCTTAATCAGACAAGGTAAGCTTTCCAGGAGAGGTTGTCCTGCATAGTTTGTGTGGTTTTGTATTTCTGTAGTAGACCAGCAGGAAATGCCATTAAAGTTCCTTTGTTTCTTATGACATTTTTTTTCCTTCTAGCTTCATGGAGGAAAAAGAGTGATGGAATGCCTAAAGAAAGCTCTGAAGATAGCCAATCAGTGCATGGACCCTTCTCTGCAAGTCCAACTTTTCATAGAAATTCTGAATAGATACATCTATTTTTATGAAAAGGAAAATGAGGCGGTGAGCAGAAATGCATTTTCTCTTTTGCATCTTTTTTAAGGAGCATTTCTTTAAGCTCTTCACTCACACACACTAAGTAATAACTTTTCAACTTGCTCTGTAGCTTCTCTCAAGAGCCCTGATTTCTGGTAATAACAGAGCTGTCAATTCTTGATATGCAATTGTGGATAAAATGTAATTCTTACATGGGAGAAAATGCCAAATGTTTGTGGTACCTAACTTAATATGTACATGTGTTAAAATTATTTCAGCTGTTAAAGATCACTGCTGAGTGTGCCACAAGTAGTTGTTTTAAGCTGTAGTTTCAAGGAATAGATATGACACCTTATGTACCAGCTTTAAATTCTGCATCTGAAATCTGAGCTTACTCATACATTTTCAGTTATCAGATAACTAGTAAACTCATACAGATTGAAAAAACTGCTTGGTCAAATAGAGGTCAACATCCTGTGTTATGATTTGATCAAGAGCAACATTAGTTAATAACCTATAGTTCTGAGAGAAGACATTTTATACATTTGTTGACTTCCCAGCAAATGAACTGGCTTCCCACTTGAGTACTGCTCTAGGTTAGGAGGTGCCATATCTGATGGAGATGAAAATAAAACTTTGAATTTCAAAGCACTTGGCAGATGTTAAAATAGATTCTGGATACAGTGGACGTGTGCTGTGTGCTGTGCTGTTGTGTGTAGTTCTGAGCTTTGCACCACAGGCAGCTGTACTTCCCTAGGTAGTGATATGGTTACTAACTTCATACCTGATACTACCATCCTAACAAATGGTAGCATTGTTAGAGTGCACAGACAATTATGTGCTTTAAATAAAAGCTTTTAAAATCTGTATTTAATAAATTGGAGATAAATGCTGTTGTTCAAATTAAAAAGCTATCAGGTTATGACTTAGGTTCTTTGTGTTTACTGGGATGGGGGGACTTTACACACAATTTTGACATCAGAATGGTCCTTTCAGGAGCCAGAGAAGGCAGTCTTCCAACAGTTGGTCTGCATGCAGTCTTATATATATTTCTAAGAACTGTCCAAATACCAACAGGTCAGGGACATGTCTGTTAAAACTAATCTGTGCACTTATGCAGAGGTCTTGTTGATGACTTGTTTTATATATGTTCTTCTGTAGGTGACAATTCAGGTTTTGAATCAGCTTATACAGAAGATAAGAGAGGATCTCCCAAACCTTGAGTCTACTGAAGAAACAGAACAAATTAACAAACACTTTCACAACACACTGGAGCACTTGCGTCTGAGAAGGGAGTCACCAGAATCTGAGGGGCCAATTTATGAAGGTCTTGTTCTTTAGGAAGATACACACTGTACTTATTTCTTTTCATTTACATACCATATGTTTTTTAAGATAGATTCATAGGTTGTGCCTTTCAGAAATGTCAAGTTAAGTTAACATTCATGTGTTCGGTCTGGCACTTCAAACACTTGTGTTGAGTCCTCTAATGACTTTGAAAGGTTGGACCAGCAACTACAGGTTTCATCAGTTAGTATGACTGAAACTTTCTTTGAAATCCATGTGACATAGTAGGGCTCTTCTGGTTCTGATTTCTCTTGTCTGTTCACTGTTGCTTCTGTAGCACTAGAGTTCTAAACTGGCAGTGACTGTCATCTGAAACTGTGTCTGATCCTTACGGAGCACCAGACTTTTGGGATTATTGTATGTCAGATTCTGCTTGTGCTTTTCTTTTAGTGCAAGTTAAAGACTAAGTGTAATATTTTTCCCTAAAAACTAGAATATATTAATGCATGTTCGGAGAGTTTTAAAGTACCATGTTCAAAAACAGAAGTTATATTTTGCATATTAAGGCTCTGTGACATTCAGTGAGGGCCAGTACTGTGCACAGGGCATATTTATCAAGATAATTTTGTTCCAAATAGTATAAAAATAGAGAAATCACAATCTATATAGATATGTATAACCTTCATTACTGTAAATTTAGGGGAAAATGCATTACACAAGTTTATTCAGTATCATGATTTTGCACCAGTGAAAAAATAAAATTGCTATTAACACATGTTGTTTCATGTCTCTTCAGAGCCCAATGTTGAACTCAATGCTAATATTGAACCTTCTGATAAAAGCAAAGGAACTATATTTTGTAGGGACAGAAAAATGAAGATATAGTGAACCTGGACAAGCTGGGAGGCTGCTAGCATTTCTGATGTACAATTTTATAATTCAATACCAGTGTTTTTCCAAATGAAGCTGAGGTAAATGTGTCCACAATTTGGAATGCTTTTATGACGTATCTTGCGAGAGTGGTAGAGAATCCTACCAGATTCTAGGTCTGTGCTAGAGATAAGTGACAAATGATAAAGCTGTAGGAAGTTGAGCAGTAGAGCAATTGTCACTGGCAACTCCTGTGAATATTGGTCTAGTCTGTAGGTTAGTGTCAGTTGCTGAAAACTTTGCAATGTCTATTTTACCCTAACTGAATGTAATGTTCTAAAGCTAACTGAGTGAACTTCCTTACTCCCTGAGTTGACCATTGTTGTGAAAATTGTCCTGGCTTGATTGGATAGTGAATGGCACTTCAGTGGGAGTGTCCATTTTTTTAGTGGTACCTGTTTTCTGAAAAAGGCAAATATGAACCTGGGAAGCAAGAATTACATAGTTGATGACAATTAGAGCATTGATCTAGTGATGTCTTTATGGCTTGGTGGGGAGGAGGAGTGGGAAGATGAGTTAATGGCTTTACTTGCCCAGTGGTATAATTAGTGCTATTCAAAAATCTTAATGTTTCCCTGGATCTGTTGATGCTGTTCTTTCTAAGAGAAGGGTTAAGCTGATCGTTTTGTTGTAAAACATCCATAGCAGAACATGATGATCGTGTTCCTGTAGACACATTCATATAGTAGGGATACGTCCTCCTAGTTTACAATGTTCTAGCTATGTTTAATTCTCTGGGTTAGTCCTTGTAATTTAGGAGTTATCTTTGAATAATGGTTTCGTAGATTCAACGCAGTTTCCCAAATGTTGTAAGGCAGTGGTTTTTCTCTTGTACCACTTCTTAAGGCTATAAAGTTACAACTCTTCCACAGTTCTGAATTGCTTTTATTGAAATTTTACAAAGTAAGTTATTTCAAAATACTGCCTGTAAGCTTTAAGATACTTGTGCTAACATGCTTTTTGGCTGCGGCAATGGACAACTCCAGTTGTTTGATAGCTATCACTCTTGTCAGCAAAGTCTGTTAAGCTACATAGAAAACGCTTATGATAGTAGAAACAAACTTAAATTGCTAGAGATATTCAAAGTGATGGGAAAAATTTAGACAAAACTTAAGACAAAAGCTATGTGAGCTTCTCTTTTGGCAGAGGCAGAATGGTGGAAATGGTATGTAGTTGTTCATGTTGCTGTTTTTTACACTCAGAGCAAGGCTGTAAATTTTAACAAGACTTTTTTGAGCCATAATGTTCATGATGTGGAAAGTGTCTAAACAAGTAGACTTTTTTAACCACTGATGACTTGATCGATGGATAGAGCCAATGGTGAGGTAAAGGAAAACGTTTTTCTTTTTGGAACTAGCCAGAACTAGTAAAAGTCTTAATTGGAAGCATTTTAAATATTCCAAGGGCAGTTTACCTAAAGCTCCGTTTATAGCAAGATTTGTCTGTCATAGGTCTCACAGATGAATTATGCTTACTGTATACCTACAGCAAGAGACAGAATTGTAATACCTGTCAGTCCTACAAGGAGTAGGGGTTTGACTTGAGTAGATGCCTGCCCATGCAGGATCCTGGCAGGGGGACAGGAAGTCATAGCTGAAGGAGGAAACTCATGGTGAAACTCTTACAGTGTAACAATTACTGGTTCTTGTATGTCCTGTCATAAAGTTCAAAACCCTTGTATATGTCTGTTCCTGAACTTAGGTCTAAAAATACTACTGTTATTCTCAATCACCATTTCCACTCAAACCAGTGCTCCTGTTACAGTAGCTCAGCTTCTCTAGTACCGTCACTGTTCTGGTGCCTGTTGTGCTCTGCTTTTCCTGGACACCAGTATTTCATTTTTGTATTGGTTATGGTCTTGTCTGGTTTGTCACAAAATGTAGGAGAGAGCATACTGTGCTTAAGAGCTGAGACCTTTGGTGTTTTAGAGTGGGTTTGGAGGTAAAGATAACAAGTCCAAGGTGAATACTTTATGGAATTATTTACCAGTAATATTTACAGTTCTTAAAAGTGAGTGAGCCTGAACTCCAATTACTTGCTGTGGATGTTGTATTACCTTTTCAGCACTTCAGCACTAGTGCACCATTACCAGAAAATACCCTGTTGGCATAATGGCTCAAAGAGCTCTGAGAAATTTCTGTTCACCTCTGTGACTTTTGCAGCTACATGGATGACTGTATTTCTATAGATTTATAAATATCTACATTTATTCCTACTTACCAGTATTCCATCAGCTACCCAGTGCACATTGCACTTCCTGCTTGGAGGTGAATATTAGCTGGTTTATACTCACACTGAAAGCAAGATGTACTAATTATAAACCTTCAAACTTTTTTTTCATGTAAAAATATGAGGATGAATTTTGGCTTTTCGTGGACACAGGAGTTTTATAAAGGCTTTCCGAAAGCTCATGTGACACAGTGGGTATAGAACAGGGTTAATGGCTGAATTCACCCACAGAAGCCAAAATGAAGTCTCATAGAGTGAATACTGCACACAGTGCCCATGGCAAGCTGCTCTGATGATCATCAAAAGTGTGTATGGAGCCCAACACAAACCAAACACACAGACAATAATTGCTAAGGACTTTGCCACTCTTTTATCCCTTGAAAGTCTAAATCTATTTGCCATAGTGTTAGCAATATCCACTCTGCTGGTGGTGTTGCATATGCTTTCTGTAGTTTTGTAGAAACCATTCCTGTGAGGCTTGGTCTCAACTTCAACCTCAAGTGGTGGAAGATCTTGATTGACGTTCAGATTTAATGACTGATTGTCAGGCTTACGTAGGCTGAGCCTTGAAATCTTTTTCTGGGGAGAAAGGCTGCTTGCTCTCTTCTCATGCTTGTGTCTGTTAGCAGTTTTAACAAAAAATACAGTGTGTTCCCTTTCTTTCCCCTGGAAGCTCATTTCACAGTCCTCTTGACCAGGTGTTAGGTTTTCGTTTCTGAGCAACGTGCGTTTCCTGATGTTGAGGTAAATACTTAAGTTAAAGTATGTAACAGTGATGAAAGGTGTAAAGAATTCAATAGTAGAGGCAATCATTAGAAAGTACCAATTGTAGAAGAATTCTGCATGACATTCTCCCTCACGGAGGATGCTTTTTTGGACAATGTGCTCCCAGCTGAGAATGGCTGGACCATAGAGAAGAAAAGCAGCAATCCAAACAGTGATCATCTTCAGTATTGCATTTCTGGTCATCCCTTTCTGAGCCCTGTAGCTGACCTGAGAGACAGAGAAGTTACATCACATACATTACTACTATCTCAAACAGTTACGTGGGTGCCTTGGAATATGTCCCTCTCTGTCACTTGTGAGGGTTGATAATATATTGGTTTAGGGATGAGGGTTATACCAAGCTTACTGGAACCAGAGAGAAGCTATTTCTGAAGTATTCTAACAAACATGATCAAGGTGACTGGATATGTTTGGAGAATTTGTAATAGACCTTAAAAGCTAGGAAACCAAGGCTTTTCCAAAGCAAATAACCACTGCTATTCCTAGAATTAGTTGGCACCAGTTGCTTACACGCTCAGTTCCATTGCTGTGACATCAGTTTACAGAATCTCAAAAAAAAAAGGCCCTTCAAAGTTAACTTAGAATTTCAAAATTTCATTTAAAATACATAAAAGAATCTGAATTAATACAATCTAAGTTATTTTCTCAGTGCTTTGTAGGGAGCCTTTTTTCTGGTAATTTAAGAAGTGTATGAATCTTAAAGATCTTAAGATCTTGATATTTCAATTCAGTGGTGTACTGGAAAATAATATAGTGGATGGGAATTCAATCTTCACATCTCTGCAGAGGCCACACAGTGTTATGGAATATGAAGTCCTCAAGATGTAATTCTATATAGGATTCATGTCTATTGCCCCAGTCTGTGGACCTTGATCTCCAAAGCCAATGCTGTTTTGGTAGAATATCCACACAGCTGAGGAGTCCTGAGTTTGTCTGAATTGATCCAATTTTGCAGTCCTTGACAAAGGTGCTAATTATTTCAGGAGCAGTCTTGGAGGAAGATTACAGTTTTCATTGAGATAGAGAATAATTTAGAACTTCATATATTCCTGTTCATATGTTTTTAAGCTGCCTGTTAGGTTAGGACAGTATCTGTACTCTTGCTTGGGGAGGGATTTTTATATGGAAGATTAATTTGAAGTATTTTCAAGTGACTGATTTTTTCATTTATTATGACCAGTTTCCCCTTCTGTTTCTGAAACCATCCAGTCTATATATTTATACTGTGTGTATAGTCATGAGAGTTTGGTTTATGAAAGCAAAATTCATGGCTAATTCAGAACCTAGAAAATAAAGGAATTGTAAGTGTTAACTGTTTAAGAATTAATCTGTTTATTTCTCCCTCTTCAAAAACATAGAACACTAACTTGCATATAAACTGTTAAAGTGATCTAGCAGCCTCTTTTTGTACTGCCTCTTAGTGTGGTTTAAAATGAGCAATGAAGCTAAATTTAAGGAAATTAACGTAATTTAAGGAAATGTGGTTTTAACAGGGATCTGAAGAATAACAAAAGTATGTGTAGATGAGTGAAACCTATTAGCAAGTAAAATCTATGTTCACACCATGCAAAATACTTTGAGGCAGTACAGTCTAGGTAAAAATGAAGTTAGCTTTTGATTTTGCTAAGTCTAGTCTACTCCCTTTTTGATAACCAACATGCTACATGACTGAGGCAAGACTGACTGTTTTTGCAGCTGTTACATGGAAATAGTATTGGTATCCTTCAAAAGATGTTAATTTACATTCTGCCCCTTTTGCCCCATACACAGCCAGATACAACTAAAATTCTCCCTGAGAGGTTGGTACCCTTTGCAAGGACATCTGTCTTGTGCAGCAGCTGGGATGCAGCTAAGCTGGCTGGGGTTATGAGTTGTCAGAAGGCACCAGCCATGTTCTGAGGGAGGTGGTCTGTTTCACCTTTTTAAGCTTATCCAAGGTGTGGCTGTGGAGGAAATAAGTACACCTTGTTGTGTCTGCTCTTCTAGCTGGAACAGCAGCATTTACAAACTGTGCCTGTCTTTATAAAACACAGTACCTCTTCCAGAGTAAAAGTGAGAAGTAAATACCTTTTCTGCCAAAGCTCATCCTTCCTACAACTACTTCCAGGCTTGAGGTCTCAGTCTCCTGTGGTGTTTGAGCCAAGGAAACCATCTATACTTGAAAGAGGCACCCGTGCTTGTCTCTCCAGCCCCCCCTCAGGAGCACTTGCCGAGCCCTTACCGCTTTGGTGACAGAGATGAACCTGTCAAAGCTGATCAGGACGATGTTGAAGACCGAGGCGGTGCACACCAGGTAGTCTACAACCAGCCACAGCTTACACAAGCCCTTGCCGAGTCTCCACTCGCCCGTCAGCACGTAGGGGATGTACAGGGGGATGCAGAAGCCGCCTGCGGACAGAGACGGGCGGTGACACGTGCGGACCGCAGCCCCCGCCCCTCCCGGCGCCCGCAACTCACCCACCAGGAGGTCAGCGATAGCCAGGTTGAGAAAGAAGAAGTTTCCCTGCGTGCGGAGGCTCCGGTCCACTACGAACGCCAGAATGACCAGGGCATTGCCCAACACCGTGGCCAGCGCCAG